TTTCTTTCTTTTTCTTGAGACAAGGTTTCTCTGTGTAATAGTCCTAGCTGTCCTGGAACGCGCTTTGTAGACCAGGCTGGCCTTGAACTCACACAGATCTGTCTGCCTCTGCCTGCCGAGTGCTGGAATTAAAGGTGTACCTAGTAGCCAAGATTCTATTTTCAATAAAAGGGGGAAAATGTTTTTTAAAATTACATTTTGCCTACGTGCATGTGATTTCTTTGCCCGATTACCCACTTGGACGCCTCACTTAGAGATCTGTCCTGTTTTAACATCGGCACAGCCCCGCCCCCTCCCACTCCACCTGACCTGTTGTGTAGGTCAGATACTATTCGGTGGGAGGGGGCATGCGTATGCACACCAGAGGCCAGCCTCAGGTATCATTCTTCAGGTTCCACTTGTCCCTTGCATGGCTTTGTCCACGTGATGTGCATTGTGTGTGTGTGTGGTGTATGTACTTCCTAGTTCGTTGTGTGTTGGTGCATGTGTGCGCGTGTTTGTAGGGGACCAGAGGTTGATGTCAGGCATCTTTTTCTCAATCTTTTTCCACCTTTATTGTTTTGACAAGGCTCTTTCACTGAACCTGAAGTTTATCGATTTGCCTGGCTGGCTTATTGATTGGCCTGGCTGGCTAATAGCCGTCCCCAGCCCAGGGATTACAGGCGTACGTATGTCATTATGCCTGGTTTTTTAGATGGCTCCTGGGGGTTGAACTTAGGCTGTCCTGTTTGCAAGGTAAGCACACTTTCCCAACCATGCCAACTCACCAGCCCGAGGCAGTACTCCTGAGTAAACTAATTATGCCAGGAGTCGGAGAGGCAGCCATGACCCGAAGAGGGTGAACTGTGAAGACAAAGGATGGAGGTTTTAAAGGATTTCAGAGGACTTGGTGTCCCCAAGCAGTCAGCTCAAGATTGAAGTGGTTGAGGTTTCTGCCTCTAAGAGAGATCATGTAGCCGTGCTTCTCGGGCCCACCCAGCACATTTGGGAAGACGATCAGGCATAGTACAGGGCTTTTAGCTAAGGGATGTGCAAAGCACTATGAAAATGTAAGTTTACATCATAACTGATGAACTTAGAGATTTAAGGCGTAACTTCCGGTCATACCTGGAGGAAGGCCAGCATGGA